TGGGCCGGCCCGTCTTGGGCCTGTTCTGGAGTGGTCTGGGGCTGTCCTGGGCGCCTTTTCAGCAGTCTTAGAGCCTTCTTGGCCCGTCCTGGGGCCGTCCTGAGGGTCTCTTGGGGGTTCTTGGGGCCGTCTTGGGCGACTCTTCGGCGTTTTTGACCGTTGGAAGTTCGAAAACGCGATAAGCCAAAGATATATATTTGAAAAAATTAACGTCGACGATTTGGGCCTCTTCTTCGGGCCGTCACGGGACGTCTCTCGGACCTCTCTTGGGGTCTCTTGGAGGCCACCTGGGAGCCTCGAGAGCCGACGGAAGGCTGACTTGGGCTGTTTGGAAGCGTATTTTGCCATCCTTTCGCATTCTGGGGGCTCCTGGGCGGCGTCTTGGGCCCTCCTGGAGCGCTGTGGAGGCTCCCCGGGAAGGCCCGTGGAGCGGTACCGGAAGCCTTCCCGAGATGTTCCGGGGAGGTGTGGGACCTGGGGCCGGGGGGGAACGGTATTTAGTTATATTATATACGTATGTGTACTGACCTGCTGGAGGCAAAAAGTTCTTATGCCCTAGTTCCCTCCCTACCCACCTCCCTTTCAGCCGCAGCCAGACTTCACGCAGTAGCGCTTTCGGTCCCAGCCCCGGCTGCGGCGACGCAAGCGGCAGGAAGGATGACGACGACGACGACGACGTTGACGACGACGACAACGACGACGACGACGACGACGACGACGACGACGACGACGACGACGACGACGACAACGACGGCGGCGACGACGACGACGAAGTCGAGGGCGAAGACGAAGACAACGGTGACGACGCCTTTTTTGTAGGGATTCGGCTCTTCCGGAACGGTCGCCGGGCCCTGGGATCGTCAGAGACGGTGCTCCTCCTCCTCCTCCTCCTCCTCCTCCTCCTCCTCCTCCTCCTCCCCCTCTTCCTCCTCCCCCTCCATCTACTCAACGTGATCCTGCAAGATCCACTCTTCGCTCCCGCGCCAATGAGACCTGCAAGTCGAGAGCGGATTCGGAAGCACTCCGTGGGCCAGACGAGCCAGACCAATCGGACAAACCAGACCAACCAAAACCAATGGAGCAACCGCGCCAAACCAAGCCGGACAACCAACCAGACGAACCAGACGAACCAGACAAACCAGACCAGCCAGACCAACCAGACCAACCAGACCAGCAAACCAGAGCAGACCAGCCTGACAAGCCGATTAGGCCAAGCAGACCAGCCAGACCAATCAGAGCAGACCAACCAACCAGAGCAGACCACCCTGACAAGCCGATTAGGCCAGGCAGACCAGCCAGACCAAGCAGACCAGCCAGACCAACCAGTCCAGCCAGACCAGACCAGACCAACCAAACAAACCAGACAAGCCAGACCAACCAACCTGACAAAACCAGGCGGACCAACCGGACCAGCCAGACCAACCAACCAGACCAACCTTACCAGACCAGCCAGACCAACTAGACAGACCAGATCAACCAGACCAGACAGACCAACTAGACCAACTAGACCAACCACACCAGCTAGACCGACTAGACCAGCTAGACCAGATGCAAACAAATACTGCAATGCAAAAACACTGCACCGCAACAAACATTGCGCGAATCCTGAGCTAGAGCTTCAGGACGAAGCTCAAACCAGCCAGACCAGACCAGCCAGACCAGATGCAACAAAAACTGGAATGGAAAAAATGCAATGCAAAAACAACTACAATGCAGAAACAAATGATTTGCTGCTTCGGCAAGAAACAAATCGACCGAATCCTAAGGTAAAGCCTCAAGACGAAGCTCAAACCAGCCAACCCAATACAAAAACAACGGTATTTCGGTGGTCATCGTGGTTGGCGCTGCCTCCCTGGACCTCCCCTGAACCACTGTCGCCCGAATCCTATACTCAAGCTTCATGACGAAGCTCAAACCGGACCAACCAGACCAGCCAGACCAGATGCAAAAACAAATCAATGCGAACAAACTGCAATGCAAACAAAAGCTGTGTTTCGGTGGTCGTCGTGGTTGGCGCTGCCTCCCTGGACCTCTCCTAAACCACTCTCGCCCGAATCCTAAGTCAAGGCTTCAAGACTAAGCTCAAGCTCGAGCTTAAGGCTGAAGCTTCAAGCTGGCTCTTTGGAAGCTTGGCGTCCCGCCGTGCGCTACAACGGCTAAACACTTCTTCTTATTTCTTGTTGAGAAAATTAGACATGTATATATATATATATATATGTATATATATACATATATAAATACATATATACATATATGTCGCTCGTACCTTGATTATCGATCACAAAACGTCCGACTAAGCCTAGGAGGGCTCTCCAGAGTGGTCTACAAGGGCCTGTGCAGCCCTGCGGATAGTATAGAGGAAGCGGTCTCTGGCAGCCTCGGAATGCAAAACGCCAGAGTCAGGAGCCGTGCGAACAACATTATACATGTGACACGCACGAACAATTATCTCCACCTTGTCTGGCGTCGGTGACCCAGCAAGGCCAAGACTCGTGGCGAGACCAGCGGGGGGCTCATCTGGCTGGAATACAAGGCCCCACAACATCGGACAAACTACATAGTGAGACATGTCATCCCGACATATATATATATATAAACATAAGCGTGCATACGTATATATGTGGTACAGGGCACTTTTGCACAATTGTATACCCTCAAACAAAGCATTATAGTACCCGCCCATCGTTCGAGCTGAGCGCAATGCCATCAAGCAATATGGCAGGCCGTTCGATCATTTGTTGGCGGGACTTGAAGATTACGAGTGTCGCAACCACACCGAGGACACATGCTGCCATGTCCAGTGTGATGAATGACCTACTCAGGTTGTGTACTGCTGGGCGCGACGGCAGAATGGTTGACTACATCAGGACTCTCCCAGATGCGCCCTGCATGCAGCAACAGCCAATGATATTTGCGCGCTCGTGGCGGTTTTTCGTGACCAGGCATTTAGGTTTCACAGGACACCCTCTAGCAAAACGACGTTGGGTGGGAGAATACAAGAGCACGCCAAGTTCACAACGGACCAGGACGGGATATCTTATGGGGGGGGGGGGCGTCCTCAAAATACCACAAGCTACTTCCTAGGAGCAGCAAAACCCCTAAGCTTCGCGCCCGGGAGATCCGCTGCGCCCGCCGGGCCAGAGGCACAGCAGGCCTGGCCAGCACGGGGCCAGAGAGACCTTTGCACCCGATGGGGGTCCGAGATCACCGGAGCCTTTTCAACCCTGAGGGCGCGCGAGGTCGCTGGCGTGTCCTGTGCAGAAGAAAAGACGGCATTCGTGGCTCTCCGCGCGGAATTCTTGAATCTGCGCTGGACCCCCCGGGCGGCGCCTCCGGCGCCTCCCCTGGCACGCTCATGCCGCTCCTTCATCTAATCCGCGCGGAGCGCAAAAACTTTATGTTCATGCCGTTACCGTAATCCCTCGCGGCCATCTCTCGGGCCCCTCTCAGGGCGCCCCCCCCCCCCATGGTGTTCCTCTCCTGGCGGAGTCTTGTGAGGACCCCAGGGGGGAGGTAGTTGGCCCCCTGTGGGCCTCGTGGACCCCCTCTTGGGTTCTGGGAGCCCTCCCTCCTGTCCCTCTCCCCTTCTCCTCCTCCTCCTCCTCCTCCTCCTCCTCCTCCTCCTCCTCCTCCTCCTCCTCCTCCTCCTCCTCCTCCTCCTCCTCCTCCTCCTCCTCCTCCTCTCCATAACCCCTTGCACCCCGCCTCCCATCCACTCACCATGCAGTCGGACCTAGGACAGAAGGACATCCTTCAAGAACATGAGGCCCTCCGCGGGGGCCTAACTGTCCCCGAAGGATGCACAAGAACATCCAACAAACACGAAAAACACGTTGGTACGTACCCTCCCCGAACCGACCTCCATCTTAGAACCTCGGTCCACACCCTGTGTACAGCCCTGAAGTCCCCCATCGGCCACACCGAAACTGCGGGGAGAACAGCACGCTGGCGCTGAGCGAGGACACTGGAAACTCGCGCAAGGATGCTCTGGCGAAGGCAAATCAAGACGGGACATCTCAGAGAGGAGGAATCATAGGAAAGAGAGAAGGAAGATGGCAAGCAGGAGAGAAGAGAGGAGGAGGAAACAGCAAGAGAGGGCAGAGGAAACTAAGAAGGCATGAACGCGATGGACCTTTGCAAAATACGGTGGGATCTTGCCCTCCGTCGCTCCTAGGCCAAAGGAATATCGACGCGTGTGCCTGTACATCTCTAATGCACTTCATCCCGCCCTCCTGATCATACTCATCGTCCGCGTCCTCATCATGCTCATCATGTCCCTCCTCCCTGAGCTGCAGGATCATACTGCCAGTATTTGCCACTCGGGCACGCCAGGGCGCTCACTAGAAATCTGCTGGAATCCGCAGTCCTTTTGCAAACCCCCTCCCGAACCCCGATGCATTTGCAGCGACCCCTGACCAGGACTCCACTCACCAGCACTTCGGTTGGCGACCCAGGGACCGACGCGCACAAGGCTGCAATGTCCGAAAAATGCAATAAACAAGTGCAAAATCCGGTTGGGTTCAAAAAAAAAAAAAAAAAAAAAAAAAAAAAAAAAAAAAAAAAAAAAAAAAACATACCGCCGTGTCGTGACGACCCTGGCGTTGGTTTCTGACACCGCGTGGATTGTTCAATCGTGCACGACCGACAGATTTTCGAACGCTAGATGGTTCCATGTTGGGCGATTCTGGGTCACTAACGGCGTCCAGCCTTGAACGCCCGCGCTGGGGTCGCAGCCGCATCGACACGACACGACCTTACCGTACCCGATAGTGATCAACCATTGCGGTGCCGTTGGCCCCTCTCTTAAGACGAAGCCAGGACGAAGATAGCATCGGGTGAAGATACATCGAGAATCTCTGAGATCTGGCGGCTCTAGAGGATGTATCGGGCGTCGCGACCGTCTCAGAGCCTTCCGGAATTCTCTGACAGCGTTCTGGAACGCTCTGGGACGGATTTACCCTTGTCCTGGCACCGTCTGATCTCCCCTGCCCAAAGGCTGCCGGATGATGTTGTTCTTCATGCCGCAGTCCACGGCGAGGATGGTGACCTGCTTGGCCTCCTGCGCGCGGCGGCCCGCCGGCTGCCGCCCAGCCGCCCCCTGTCACGGCGAGGGACGCACAGCGTGCACACGCGAAACGATCGTATCAACCTTACGTTACGCATTCGACGACGGACCCTTTGTTATTCACAGGCTCTTGGCAATCTTCGGCGGTCTTCGGGCGCTCTTGGCGGTTTTGGGCGGTCTTCGGCGGTCATCTGGCGGTATTCTGGCGGCCTTCGTAGATTTCTGGCGGTCTTCGATGGTTTCCTGCGGTCCTCGGCGCGAAAGCTCGACAATTACGGCTCATACAGCTGTCTGTGACAGAACGCCTCACGTACCGTGCAAAGCCCGCCAGCGCCGAGCGTCCTCAGAAGAACCAGCCAACGACGACGTAAACGGGTGGACGTGCGCACGAGTGCGGACGGGCACTCGCGCACACGCCAGGTCGCGGTTCCTCTGGGGCCCGAGGCGGTGGTGCCCTGTAGACGCCGAGCACTCGGAGCGCGGGGTGGGCAATGGTGTAGACGTGAACTGTGCGACTTTTGCGTGGATCCGTTGCCTGATTGTGCTTCCATATTTTTGGGGGGGGGGGGGCGTTGGTTCCTGTATGCTTCGTGGAGGAGCTCGGCTCCAGGGCGCGGTCCTGCCTCAGCCGCATGCGGACCTCAAGCGCTTCACTCCAGGAGGGGGTACCGCCATTAAGCCACTCCTGAATGGCGTGTTCCGTGTATGATGAGCAACGATAATGCCCCTAACCATTTGGGAGGGGACCGAAGTTTGGAGGGCCAAAAACAATGACAAAGGAGTCTTTCTTGCAGATGTATCCGGCCAGAACGCCCAGCTCTATCCTCCCTAATGTGAAGACGGGGATTTCAATGAGGCCACGTCTTCATCCCGTTATTGGGGATCGGGGCTCTTTTGTTTCCGATGACTGTACGCACGGGGGCCTCGGCATTCTAAGTTCGCTCGTGGCCAGACCCTCCCCCCCGCCCGCCCCCCGGAGCGAGAGACACATTGGGAGTGCGGGGCCCACGGGTGCGCCGCTCCGAGGGAGGACGACGGGGCCAGCGGACCTCCCAAAGGTGGTCTCTGCCGCAGTTGGCGGCACTCGGCGATCGGGGGGGATATGACCCGGGGCTGTCGGGACACCTCGGGCAGCCGAGGGGGGCAACAATCGGCGGGGACCAGCTCAGGGAGCGATAAGTCGAGCTGGGATCGGCGATACCTCGCCGACGGATCGGCGACGGGCCCCCCCGATCGCCGACGCATCGCCGATAGATCGCAGATAGATGGCCGAGAGATCGGCGAGGGGGGGCAACGATGGGGGGGACAAGCTCAGGGAGTGATACATCGAGCTGGATTCTGCGATACCTCGCCGATGAATCGGCGACGGCCCCCCTCCGATCGCCGATGCATCGCCGAGGGATCGCCGAGACATCGGCGAGGGGCCCCCGATGGCAGATCCGCGCGCTCTCCTGGGCGGGGTGGGCACTCGGCCCCCTCGCGGGCGATCCATGGGCGATGGGGGGCCTAGGCGCCGCCCTCGTCCTCCTCCGAGCACGCGCCCGCAACAAAGGATCCGAAGCGCCGAACTGGAGCTACGGCTGCTGCATCTGCACGCCACTCACGGTACAACGGGGCGGAGAGAGGGAGGGGAACAGGGAGGGAGAAAGGGAGGGATGGAGGGTGGGAGAGAGAGAGAGAGGGAGAGAGAGAGAGAGGGAGGGAGGGGAAGAGAGAAAGAGAGAGAGAAGGAGAGAGAGAGAGAGGGAGGGAGGGAAAGAGAGAGAGAGAGGGAGGGAAAGAGAGAGAGAGAGAGAAAGACAGAGATGAGAGAGAGAAACAAAAAGAGAGAGAGAGAGAGAGAACAGGAAATTATCCAACCCAGCTCCAGCTGCGATTGCTGGCCAGGCCACTGTCGCTGGAGAGTAAAGGAAGAGGTGCCCATCCATGCTGACCCCACCTATCCCGTCACCTGCACCTCTCTGATCACTGGGCCCCACCTTGAGAGCTCCACGGCGCGGCGCCCTCCTTGAGTGTTCGCCTACGCAGCTCTGGCCCCAGTGTGGGCCTCAAAACTGTGGTTGCTGGGATGGGCGGAGGCAGGGCCCTCCTACTCCTCCTCCAGTGCACCACACAACAACCCAGCACTCACGCCACACAACCACGCATAATACACGAAATCCTCCGCTCTCCCTTCCCCTCCAGGAAGCTCACTTTGCCGAGGGAACGCGACTTGCGCTTGCAGGGTGGCGAGGCGGAAGGGCTCGGGAGGACAGACGAGGAAGATAGTCACGATGGCCGCCGCCGCTATGACAAAAGGGCTCCGGGGCTTGCCCAAAACGCCGCACCACCCTAGGTTTTGGAACTTGGACGTTCCCTCCCCAACGCCTGCTATTCTCCCTTTGCCCGTCGCAATCCCCTCAGTGTTCCCCATGCAAGCTGCAGCCGCTGGGAAACGAAGATCCGGGACTAGAGCCCCGCTCCTGGACACAGATATTGTGGCACGACATCGGTACCAGAAGACAGGCGCGGGAGACAGATGAGGGCGGGGATGGCGAGAGTGGGGCTCCAGGGAGGCACGTCTGCGCATTGGCCCAAACTTCAGCGCTACTACGCGTGCCACCCCAGCTGCCCTGCTGTTTATCAAACCTTGGAAGCAGAGGGTGTGCACCCGGGTCTTACATTGGGTGCAGTGGTTTGCTTGCTTGAACCTGCTACAACGCCCGTCACACAGAAAATAAACTTGGCTGTGCCTGTACCTGTCTCTGGCGAGCTGATAGCGAAGTCTGGTACAATCCCTCTTGCGTTCAAGCAGCGGGCGCGCTGGAGGTGTGCTTGACTGAGCACATCGGTGTGCTCAGGCGTACTTGACACATTCATGAACAAGACCGCTCTCACGTCGACGTCAGAGATGATTTCAAAGTGCTGCTGGCCTTGCTCGGCCCCGATGTTCACGAACGACGGTGTCCAACCGAGGTTTTCCAGATCTCGTCGGATGGTGTCATATTTTTCTGCCACGACGCCGACGCCGTCGTCTGAGTCCTCGGCCGCCATGTCGAAGACTTCGGGGGCGCTCCCAGCCTCGGTTTCTTCACAGGCCCTACTGGCGCCACCCCGAAACTCTTCAGAATTGGCCTGAATACGAGCATGCGCCGTCTCCGAGAACATGACCTGCGCACCCTCTCCCAGCGGCAGATTCGGTGTGCTTGGTCATCAGCTGGGGGAGGATCTCCTTGGAGTTTCAATCTCGCTGGCCTGGGCGGCCAAGGTGTCCTGAAAAAAAGACTGCGCATCTCGCTGCGGAGTGGAAACAAAAACCGAAATGCTGACAACAGCAAGGACATCACCTGCAGCAGTGTCGGCGGTCTGCGTCGGCTCCCTAGCGATGCCCTGGTCGAGATTGAGATCAGCCTTGGGGCCTTCTAACCCGGCCTCACCCTTGACAGTGTGCAGCTGATCGTACGCCTTGGCTGGCAGCTTCACCTGCTCATCCTCAGGCTTCTCTGAATGTAAGGTTTCCAACATGACATGGTGAGTTTCTGCGAATCCAAAATCAACATGACCTTCTGCATTTCTCAACTCCGTAAGCTTGCTAAGCCTCGATGCCAATTTCTTCCCGCTTCTGCTGCAAAGCTCCTCCTTGAGCTTCGTGATCGTCGGTTTGCTGGGTAACTTTCGCTGAGCCGCCTCCTCATCCTGTCCCCCCCGCCGGTGTCCCCGAGGAGCACCCCGGTCGCGCTCCCGCGTGCCCCCGGAGCGCGTTCCGACGGGGCCTCTCGCAGCGACAGGCCGCGGGGGCGAGTCGCGGGGCGTCCGCGCGGGTCCAAGGAGGCCCGAGAGCGCCCAGCCGCCGCCAAGAGCGAGAGCCCCCAGCGCACCAACTGGCTCCAGAAGGTGCCCTTGCGGACCCCTTTGGAGCCAGTTGGTGCCAAGAGGGGCCCTACAGGGCCCCTTGTAGGGCCCTTTCTCTTCACCCCCCATCTGGGTCCGCCCGCATGACCACCCGTCCGATCATTGTTTCTCGGTCGATACCGCTCCCTGGACCACTCCCGGGGTCCATCGTGGCAGGTGCATGCATCCTGGATCGGTTTGTGATGGCCCGGGGGCCCAGGAAGAGCCTCCAAAGGCCAGGAATTGAAAGCAAACCATCGACCGACAAACCCCGAACCTCGAAACACGACGACGAAGACGGCGACGGCGACGGCAACAACGACGACGACGACGACGACGACGATGGCGGCGACGACGAAGACAACGGACGAAGAACAACGACGACGACAGCGACAAACTCCGCGACGCTGCCCAGGTCGCCAAAGATCGGAAAAACTTCACTAACGACCTCCGAAGGCCGCCGAAGGCTGCTGAGAGATTCCGAAAGGATTCGAAGGTCTCCTAAGGCCGCCGAGCGCCTTCGAAGGCCGCCTAGGGCCTCCGAGGGCCTCCGAACGCCTGCCAGGGCTTCCGAAGACCGCGAAAGGCGGCAACGGACGACGGACGGCGACGGACGACGACGGCGACAATCGCGACAGCGCCGAAGACGACGTACACCCGACGAATGACGAAGGACGACGACGAGAACGACGACGACGACGGACGACGGACGACGACGACTGACGAAGCTGCCGCCGATTAGACGCAAGCCTTTTTTATCATGAGGTTTCCGAAGCCTGACCTGGGGCCCTCCGAAAGCACTCTAAATTGCTTGACGCGGAGATCCCTATCTGTGTCTGTCATTTCCTGGCACGTCCTGCTGTGAGCGTCTGGATGTGAGCGTCAGGGTGTGAGAGCGGGTCCACATAAACGAATGAAGGACGAGTGCGACGACGACACCGACGACGACGTGAGCGGACAGCGGCGACGACGACGACAACAACAGCGATGTCGACGACGACGACGACAACTCACGAACAGGCGGTGATAAAATCCCTCCCCCATTCATCTTCTTCCTTGTCATCGCGCCCCCTCCGAGAACTCCCTGCGTCCTCCCGTTTCCCTCCTCCTGGGTCCGCCTCCTTCCTCTTACGTCCTCTCTCAGCCTCCCTGGCGGCTGTCCTTCTGCCTCCCCCTGGGTCACCCTCCTTCCTCCTTCCTCTTACGTCCTTTCTCAGCCTCCCTGGCGGCTGTCCTTCTGTCTCCCCCTGGGTCACCGTCCTTCCTCCTCGTCGTCCTCACTCCACCGCCCTCCCTCATTCTCCCTGGCAAGGGGCCCACTTCCTGGCGGCCAACCCCTCTCCTTCCGATTCTCTCCTCGCCGTAGCCCCTCCCTCTTATTTGTCCCTCCTCCCGTCTCCCCACTCATGCGTCCTCACAATTCCTCCGTCCTCCCTGCTCCTCCTTGGCGGCCGCCCCCTACGTCGAGATGGTCATAGGGCTCTGCATGGAGAGGAGTCGGAAGTGCAAACCGAGCGCCTCGCTCGAGACATCCCCTAGGTCTGGCAGCGCGCGGGCGAGTGCCCTATCCCTTGGCGGCTCCCCCCTCCCACGGGGAGCTCCACCGAAGGTCACGAGGCCACAAGGGCGCATCTAGCCCGCGGGCGTCCGCCCCACCAATGTCGGCACACCCCTCACGCGTTGCGTGGGGAGCTCCACCAAAGGTCCCATGGCGCAGTCCAGATGCGTCCCTCCCGCCTATTTCGGCAACCACCCCTCGCGCACTTCGTGGCCCCACAGGGGGATCCACCGAATGTCCCAGCAGCGCAGTCAGGATGCGCGCGCCCTCCCCGCCCATTTCGGCACACATCTCACACAGTCCGTTGCCCCGCAAGAATCCCAACTCAAGACGCTACTCGCAACGACGCTGCTCGCTACTGCACACGATTGGGTCCGTGGCCCGGATAAGTTTCTGCGCAGTTGTGGCATTCATCTCGGCATGCCGCTCGGGCGTGCGCGGCCCTCGAGTATGACGCTGGGTGCGATGGGAACTAAATTGACCCCGCGTGGGTAGGCAGAGGACCGACGCAGCATGTGCGCATGTTGTGACGTGTGACATGGCTGGAGTGGTGTTCGTGGTGCTTTCAAGCTGGCTGGCCTCGAGGAGCGCGCTGTTGTCGATGCAGCGTGCAATGCTCCATGTACCAAACACGCTCGCGTAGCGAGTTTGATAACGATTTGGGGCATCCGCCGACCATGCGTAATGATAGCTCCACTCGCATGAACAAGGCGGTCCAGTATTTTCCATGGTCGCAACCACGTCGCACTTCTCTGACATGTAACAAGTGTGGCACTCGTTTGGGGGCAGTTTGACGCTACTTCTGTTGAACGCCCTGGACAGCGCATATTTCGTGGAGCTCCGTGGCCGCAGGTATCAGAACCGTAACCTCCACGCTAAGTGAGCCAATGATCTCGCACCACGAAGGCTGACAATTCGGGTTGGCCTGCCCGTCGCCTGAGAGGCCAGTAATGGCCCGAGGGCTACCAATTCGGAACGGCAGGGGTGGCGAGTCGGATTAGTCAAAAACACCCCCTGGCGACCCCAAAACTCTGGCGGCGAGAAAGGGGGGGGGAGGGGGCGATTGCCAAAACAATTTCGCCCACTGATGTTCTTCGCATGGCCAACGCAATACGCAATCATGCCCCCCCCCCCTGTGGCAAGAAACGGTCATCCTTTGAACCGTCCACCGCCATTCGTGGCAATGCCCATCCCCCCCATGTCGTTGCCCCTGGCCGTTGACCTGAACGACGGAACGGCCGCCGAGGAGATCCGAGGGATGTCAAGGTGGGGGAGGGGCAGAGCTTGGGTTACAAGAGTATCTGCCAAAACGGCCCGCGCAAGGAGGAAAGCAACGTGTTTATCCAGGTGGATGTGTGTTCCCTAAACCACCACAGTCCCACCTGGGGACAAACCCCGATACCCCTTCGGGATAACCCCACGCCACCTTGGAACAACCCCCCCTTAACAGGATATCCATCCACCTAAGGATGACCCCGCCCCATTTTGGGATAAACGCACCCCACATCCCGGTGGGTATGTTCCAGAGCCCCACCTTGGGATAACCTCCTCCCTACAGTCGGACCCAGGCCAGCAGACCATCTCCCGAGAACGTGAGACCCTCCGTTGGCCAAAACAAACAGGGCATCTATGGGCACCCTCGCCAGAATGCACAAGAGCCCCCAACGAACACGGATCATACTAGGGAACCCTCCCCGAACCGGCCTCGATCTTATGTCGGCGGCGTGCCCGGGTGAAATGCGAGAAGAGGCGGGCCTTTTTCAAAGAACTCCGAACTTGCCAAGCCTTATGAAACATGTTCTGAACCTTCCTCGAATACGTAAGAACTTCTCAGAAGGCGCGGCGGTTTCTGAAAAGTCCCGCCGCCCGCAAGGAAGGCTTTTCCCTTCTCACTCCGCGCCCTCGCCCGCCGTCGATTATACCTCGGTCCGACTGCACGAGACCCCGAGGCGAGGTCCCGACGGGTCGTTCCTCGGCGGGCGTCGGCGCCGCGGCGCCATCCTCGACCGCGGGCGGCAGCGGCGGGGGCAGGAAGACCTGCGCAGGGCGCGGGCGGCGGCGGCCGCGAGCGGCGGCTGCCGCAAGGGGCGGCGGCCGCGGGCGGCAACGGCCCCCGAGTGGCGAGCACGTCCATGTCCGCGCCCTGGCGGTCTGGACTCTGGGGCGCAAAATCTCGCAGATGATCGCTCCGCGCGAGGCAGGCACGAAAACACGGTCCGCATCCGCGGGGTCGTGTTCAACGGGGCCCGACCGCGATGCGGCGTGTGTGTGTGTTTGTATATATGTATGCATATGTGTGCACATATATATACATATATGTATGTATATATGTATATATATAGATATACAGATAGATAGATAGATAGATAGATAGATAGATCGATAGATAGATAGATAGATAGATAGATAGATAGATAGATAGATAGATATATAGATAGATAGATAGATTTTCCTCTTCTTATATTTTTACAAGCCCGGGCGGGGGGACCCCTCACCCCCCTCCCAAAACCGGACTCCCAGGATCTGGGGCTTTGGGACCCTCCGGACGGGCCTCGAAGCGGCCCCCCGGGCCTTGCAGGGCGTTTTGCCAAGCCTTCCCAGCACACCTAGGGCGATCAGGGGGGTCATCGGCGACGTCTCAGAGACCCCAAAGACAGCACAAGAGCGCCCCAAGAGTGACCGACGTGACCTCAAGATGGCCCAAAAGGCCTCCAGGACGGCCCCAAAGAGGCCTCCAAGAGCACTCCCAAGAAGGCCCCAAGAGGCAAACATCATTGATTTTCTGTTGGGTTTTGGTGAATTGGGGGGTTATCCTCTTTTCGGCTTCCCGGCGCTCCAAGGCGGCAGTCTTCTGGGCGTCCGAAGCCGCCCAGGAGGCTCCAAAATCGCCTCACAACCATCCGAAAGACCTTCCAGGCAATCCAAGAGAGCCCCAAAACGGCACAACACGGGCCCAAGATGGCCCTCAGAGAGCCCCATGGCGGCCCAAGATGGCCCCAAGACACCCTTCGAAGCATTCCAAATCGTGACCCGGTCGTTCAGGGAGACCTCGGTTGGAGGCAGGGTGGCCAAAGGAAACCCCCAGAATACCCCCCAGGAGGGCCCCAGAAGGCCTCCAGAAGGCCTTAAGAAAGCCTGAAACAATCATTGTGAGGCCCCCAAAGGCTTTCCCAGGAGGAGCCCCCGGAAAAAAAGAGCCGAGGAGGATGGGGAGAATGCGCAGGGTATGGCGAAAATTATGGAAAAAAAAAAAGCATGAAGGAGGGATAACAAATAACATTATCATAACGGCGATGCCGGAAAAGGCAACAAGGAGTTATCGCGAATCTGTCGACTTGACCTTCCTGCTATTCCGCCTGCATGCCAAACTTCAAGGACCAAGGTGCATGGCGCGGAGCGCCACTGCAGTCTTGTATGTATGTATATATATAATTATGAATATACATGTTTATATATATACATATATGTGCGCAGCCACACACCCCACCCCACCCCCCAGCACCCACTGATTTCCCATCGGTCGTTGACCTCCACTCCTTGTGACCACGCATGCTTCTTACTCCCATCGCCCTTCGTGCCTTGATTCCTCCGTCTTCCTTGTTACGCTTCCCTCCCACACCCACTTCCTCTTGACCTTCATGCCTCTTCCCCCAATCGTCCTCCCTGTCTGAATCCATCCATATTCCTCTTCCTGCCTCCCCCCACCACGTGTTCTTATCAGTCATGTGTCCTTCCATCGCCCCTGCTTCCCCCCCTCGTCCTCGCCTTATCCCTGCTTCCCTCGCTCTCCTTCCCAATGCCCTTCATGGCACTCTCTGCTGTCCTCCGTATTCCTTTTGCTATCGTAGCCCCTCTTGGCTCAAGTTGCCCACCTCTTGCGAACATGCCTTCGTCGTCGAAGGGCGCGCTCGAGCGCAAGCGCGCCGACGACATGAACAGAGCCCGCATGCAGGCATTGAAGACGTTCCTGAGCAGGCCCTGGGTGAAACAGACGCTGCACGACGCGCTCAAAGAGTCCAAGCATGCATCGAGCAAACGCCTGCGCAACGCACTGGCCGACGTTCCCCTACAGAGCAACGCGCGTTACGACGAGCTGCAGGAGAAGGTCGGGAAGCTGGGGGGGGGGGGGGGGGGGGGGGGTGCGCCTTCAAGAGGCCCAGAAGGCACAGGACCAGGGCGAGCAGGTCAAGCAGCTGCCGAAGGAGAACCAGCGGCTCTTGAAGGAGAGCAAGTAGCAGGGGGGGGGGGCCTCGAGAAGCAGCAGGCTGAGCTAGACCAACCAGGCCAGGGCTGCCATTAAGGTTTCCCGCACGAAACAAGGCAGCTACAACCGCTGGGCCACGCCCAAAGACAGGAAGCGGCAGGCGTGGGTCACCATGGACCCAGCGATGTGTGTCCCCCGAGGGGCAATCCAACCCTTTCGGGATGGCTGCATGGGCATGCAGTGAGGCAGGCGCCCACGACCCCCCTTCTGCGCGGGACTGCTAACGACGCGCACGCACAGGCTGACGCATTGTGCCGCATGGCAGGTGCGCCCTCCGTTCGATCGATGTGTATGATATCGCGCGCAGCATTCGCGTGGTGAGCCACGACAATTTCGAAATTCTACACTGTGTTGGCTTGGCCACCAGTTAGGGGGGTCTTGGACAAGATCCCCCTTGCCGGGGGATCTTGAATGAGCTCCCCCGATGCGCGGTGTTCAAACAGAATGACACTCTGCCGTCGAGACAGCCCGCCGTCCGCCCTCTCTCCCCGCCGCAGGCACACTGGCGCAAGCTCGCTGTCTTCGCCTCCAAGCCAGCCAAGAGTCTCCTGCGATGGCGAACGTACAGGCCATGGGGACGGCCTCCCTTGGCAAGGCCAGGGAACGATCGAACCGCGCCGACGGTGTCCTCCACCGCGCGCTCGCAGCTGCGAGTGCGAAGAAGCCCGCCGTGGCGCTCGCGGAATCGACGATGGTCAGCTCGACCGCGCGGGACTTGCCCATCAAGCACTGGGAGGGCCGAACCCAGAAGACAACCAGCTACGTCGTTGAAATAGTCTCGTCCCCAGGAGATCTGTCCGCTGATGACTGGGGCTCGGCCAAGGAAATGACGTTGAAGGGGGGCCACAACAGCCTGCCGCCGCCTCTGGGGCCCCCCACGAAGACAGAGACCCCGATGTTCCTCAGCCTGCATGCGTCGAAGCCCGCGGGCGATGATTACATCGTGGTGAAACTCACATCATTCCTCGGAAGGGAGACGTCCTGCGCCATCCAGCAGCAGCTGGTCGTCGGCGAACCCTACGCCCCCGACCGGACCCGCGACCGTCACGCGACGCTGAACACGATGCAATTGCCGTTCGGCAACACACGCGGCACCGAGTTCAAGCACTGGGAGTTCGCGGCGCCAGTCGCGGCGCCAGCTGCCGCCGACCCCGGCGACGAGGACACAGTGGATGAGAAGAAGAGGGAGCTGTCCGCCAGCTTCGACTTGATCATGACATAGACACAACGCGGGGATGTTGATTGCGAGCAAATGCTGTGGGTCGAGCAAAAGCTCGTCGATCCAGACAGCTCCACCCACCACTGCAAGCGCGATATTATGGGCAGAGTGATCAAGAATATACAGGACAGGGCCGCTTTGCTGCCATGGAGACGCACTGCCCGTGCCTGGCGCATGACACTCGCCCCGTGCATCTGGACATCGCAAAGCGCATCATCAGGACTCCCCTGACGAACGCGCTGCTCACCTTTGGCAAGGCCAGGTTCGGAAAGACACCTCTCACGAACATCTTGGCGATGGCCATCGGGCGCTGGCACGCCGACGTGGAGAAGATGCGGGGCAACGAAGTCGTCGCGGCAGCGCGGGCGTCGGCTGACATGGATTTTCTCCGCGGGGAGGTCGGGGAGAAGTGGGCGCCCCGCGCGTTCGACGACGGGGGCCTCTCCAACCAGCGGCCCCGCGTGCTCACGGCGCGGGCGGAGAAAAAGGTTGGCCGCGGCAGCGTTGATCGGCGCTGGCGTTATCTCGCGCGCGTCCTGCGCGGAGCGAGATGACTCCATCGATCGGGGGGCCTGCCCAGCGAAATATTTTCCCCCGCCGCAGGCGTTCTTCGGCCCGACCCAGATGCAGGCAATGACTTACGCCAGGTGGGGCGCGGCCAAGTTCGCGCGGGGCCGGGCGAGGTTCGGCGGGGGGGGCGACTGCAACGCGGTCGTCAAGCCGTCGCTTGAAGATTTGGCATATGCCGTCACGGGCTGCGACAAGGCGAAGAAGACGACGCAGTTCCTGATCCACATGATCTTGCCTGCCTTCCCCGAAAACTTCTCCAGCAATCAGATCGGGGCGATGCTGAAGCGAAGTTCGCTGTCTGCTTCCCCCCAGCTGGCCAGAATAGAGTCGTCGAGAAGCACCCGCTGCACGACGGGCGCTTGAAGCCAGAGGCAGGCAAGACGCTCTGGGATTACTTGCATGACTCCAGCGTTCGCCGCGACACCGAGGAGTTCGCGCGCCTGCTCTCGCACGAGAAAAGAACATGACCGAGCCCATGGCGAAGCACATGAAGTCCGACCGCATCGCCGCCGCGGCGCGCGCCAGCGACGACCAGGCCGCGGGGGCGGCCGCTGACGCGCCAGCGGTGGAGGCGCACCCGCCCGACCCGCCCGACGATTTCGACGAGGGAATTCCTTGGGCCCCGAAGGCGCTGGCGAGGACCACGAGGCCGCTCCTGCCGCGCCGCGCGCGCCAGAGGCGGCCCCGACCAAGCGCATCAAGATCGAGCCCGGCGCCTGGAAGAACCTCAAGCTCCAGCAAGGCGACGACGGCTGCATCGACCTCAGCCCCCCATCGCCGCCCAGGAAGAAGAACGGCATGTCGTTGGAGAAGGAGCTCGAGCAGATCATGGGGGAGGAAGCGCAGAAGGGAGAGCGCATCTGCAGCGAGCAGCGGGGCGGCCGCGGACGGCGCATTTGTCGCGGCCAAATGAGCGCGTGATCGGCAGACCACGGGAAGCGAGCGCGCGCGGGTGTCTCGGGCGTAGGCGCGCCCTTGCGGCCGCGGTAGCAGGTGTGCTAATTCGCCCCAGATGGGGTGCCTGCGCGACGCTCTGCCCGTTCCGAATGCGCGATGCGTCGCTCCCATATGTGCAGCTGCCCGATCGATCACCGTGGATTGCGCTGCGTCGATGGGGGCGCGCGCGCGACGGTTTCGGGCGCATTCGGTTGCGCCCCCAGGCGAGGCCGCCGGGCGCCGCGCTGTTCCTAGCCCCCAGGTTTGCAGTGACGCCTGGAGAAAAAGAGCGGCTTGCATTGGCGGCCGTTGGCCAAGCGTTCACTGCAGCAGCGTTTCGGCTATCAGGTTAGAGCGCGCGGCCCCGCCCCCCCCCCCCGGCGCGCCCTCGAGCGGCGCCTCGGTTCTTCCCGGCCCCAGAGAGGGACAAGGCCAGCGCCGCCATGCGACCGCCGCACTCGCGCGCGAAGGCCATGAAGGCGCCGATGAAAGCCACGAGAGCGCCGAAGAGGGGCCGCGCCGTGAAGAATACCATAAACAAGAAGATTACTGCTCCCAAACCTGCGCCTTATATTCGGCAAGGCGCCGCGGCCGTTGCGAGGGGTCGCAAGGGCTGGGCTGCGCGGGCGAGCTGCATCAAGGACTGCACCAATCGTTCTGGGAAGTTTGTGATTGACATGATGCGCAGTGAGAACATCGCGCCGAAGTGGGAGGGGTTGACGCGCCCTCGCTGCGGCGAGGGTGTCCTGAGGCCTCTGAAGGACCACGGGGAGAAGAAGGGCGGGTGGGGGCACCGTTGCAGCCGCAATTCTTTGCACTCGCCACGTGGCGCCGCATGATCTCCATCACATGTTCAGCAAGGGCGCGAGCCAGTCGTCCTCGTCTCTGGCAGAACAGTCCGCCATCCCGTTCTGCGCGGTCGCAGGATGTCCACTGACGACCACGCGCCTCCTGGCGCGGGGGAACCACGAGCCCGTCGACGGCATCCACAGCTCGCCCCGCGCTGCGCGCGCCGCGCACGGGCGCGCCACTGAGCCGAACATCAAGTTCGGCGGCGGGGCGGAGTGGCCAGACGTCGGAGCAGACGAGGCGGACCTCGGCAAGATTGAGGACCCCGGCGCGGGGCCCTGCACTGCGACCCCCGTCATTTGGGAGCAGCGGGGCGGGATCGCGCAGCGCGGCGCCCCCGGGTCTCTTGCGCCGTTCCGCCCCCAGCCGAAGGAGACCGCGCGTCGGGCCCCAGGCCCCAGGCCCACGCGCAGGGCGGATTGGGCGCCCCTCTCGAAAGTGGCTGCAGAACAGGGACGCAATCTTCCACGCGGACGGCGCGCGGCCACGTGAGCTGAAGGAGCAAGGCATCGTCCACGATTGGGCCGTCCACAAAAAGAATATGGCCAAGGTCAAGGGCAACTGGGCATGGCTTACGCCGTCGCACAGCAAGAAGCGGCACCACGACGTCCCCGAGCCGCTCCAGGCTGCGCTAAGAAGAGGATCTGGGTCAACACTGGCACGCAGATCATCGACGGCGTCTGGCGCGAGCTCCGCCGTTTCATCGGCCAGAACAGGGCCGTCGGCTCGGCGCACCTCGCGCAGAAGGTCCGCAGCTCCGCGGCAAGGACCTCCGGCACGAGACGGGTGCCATGCTGCAGGAGGCCTGGAGCAAGAAGCACGGCTAGTGAGTTTTGGGTTCGATCTTCGGCTCATGTCGCCCGCGCGCGCCCGCGCGGAGTCGCCGCGCGCGGCGTTGGTGCGAGCGGCGTGGCGCTATGATGTTTGCTTTAGCAAGCGCCCCCAGGGATTTGCTTGGCCTTGCTGTTGCCGCCGCTGCTCCCCGTGATCCTCCGCCCTCTGCGATTGCGAATGGTGGCGCAATATACATATATATACATAGGTATTCCCCCTCTTGCCCAGTGCAATACTGGGTGACGGCGGTAAACCGTCAACCAGGCTACCGCCGGGGACCTCGCAGTGCTCTGTAAACACCTAACAGTGCTGTCTGTGCAGATACAGTGCGCCCCCTGGAATATCAGCTTGACAACTAGAGAAAACTTGTTTGTTCGCTCTAGCGGAAAATCAGATGCACCAATATTGTGGAATAGCATAGCAGCTAGAGACCTGATAAATTCCTAGCGAACGAGACAGCTACTCCAAGTGCAGAACAATTTAATTCCCACGCGAATAGCAAATAATCTTAGAATTCAACGAAAGCCCGCAAGTTCTGCAACAACTTTCGGTTCTGAGGTCGGCCCCTGGAAATGAATCGATAGAAATATCGCAACTGCAGCCCTGAGATTTTCACCAGCGAACGCAGCGTAATCCAATAATGGGTGGAAAATCTCCGATCTCAAAACGACTTGTCAAATCCAGGAAAATCTTGCAAACAAAAACACTGAACTCAACTTGCTATACCAACTTGAAGTCGGTTACCCTACTTTTTTGGTAATAATACAGCAACTACGGACCTGAGAACTTCGCAGGCAGACGCGGCATAACCAACTACAGGCTACAAAAATACAGATTCCCAACACAATTTTCGAATCTCTCAGAATGTTCACCCAACCGACCACAAAATCCCACATTGCCCGCCCTGGCCGGGTCGCTCAACCAGCTCCGCCCCCCGCCGGAATTCCTCTAGCTCGTCGCTGCCGAAGAGCTCCACGAGGTACTGTTTCCTGCATTCGCGCCCCAACTCCATGCGGCCGCTAAGTTCGACCCCGCGCCACTGCGTGTAGCGCGCATGCTTTTCCCTGCGTGGCATGCCGCAGCGTGCCCCGATTCCTTCCCTTAGGTGTCCTCCACCATCTCCCCCTAACTCCCCTCCTCCGCCTCGCACTCCCCCTCCTCCTCCTCGTCTGCCCCCCCTTCCCGTCCGCCCCCTCCGGGGCCCAGGAGGCGCCGAACCGCGTGATCTTATTGGGATGCTTTGGACGACTGGGATGAGAAACGTGCGAGTTTGGTCATTTCACAAGGGTGATCGGGATTCCCCAGGCTCTCCGCCCCCCGACAAAAGTCTGCCCTGAAACCCCCCGGGATTCCGAATCCAAAGCACCCCTGTGGATTCGCGGGGCTCGCGAAGCCAGGGAGACCCAAACCATGCGATTTCACCGGGGCGCTCGGGGCGTCTGGGATGAGAAACCCAGAAAATTCGCCATTTCAAGAGGGGCGCTCGGGGGTCCGAAGACTGCCCAACCTCCGACGCAATTCCACTCTGGAGCCCCCCAGGACCCCGAATCCCAAGCATCCCTATGAAGTCGCATGCTTCGGGCCTCCCTGGCTTCGCGAACCCTGGGGATTCACAGGGGCGCCTGGGATTCGGGGCCCAGGGGGATCCCCAGTGCGAATTGTGTCGAGGGGTGGATAACAGCAAGAATGCCAAGCACCCAATTGAAATCATTGGGATTCTGGGATGCACGCCCCAGGAACCCCACGCACCCCAATGAAATCGCAAGGTTCGGGGCCCCTGACGGCGCGAACCCTGTGAATTCACGCGGACACCTGGGATTCGCTGCCCTGGAGAGGGGGGGAGACCCCGGGTAGATCATTGTCGGAAGTCGGAAATCCCAGGGGCCCCAGGCACCCCTGTGGAATCACAAGGTTTGCGGGGTAACGTTCCAGAAGTCCCGAGCACCCCAATGAAATCATCAGGTTCGGTGACTCCTGGGCCCATCGCGCGCGCACAGTGCCCGCCGCAAGCTCGAGGTTTCTTCATTAAGGGGAAGGCGCCGCGCGCGTGTTTCACAGCGCGCTGCCGTTAGGCGCCGGCCAGCCTCGCGGCCAGAGCGCGCGCGAGCGGAATCGAAAAAACGCCCCCCTAACGCCAGGGGAAGACGCAAACGAGGAAGGGGAGGGAAAGGAAAGGGAGCGAAGCAAGGATGGGAGAGGACAGGAAGAGGAGCGCAGAACATCGCCAAGACAAAGAAGGCGAAGAGCGGGCGATGTGGGGGGTTAGGGGGGAAGCTGTCCATACATATATATATATATA